AGATTTCCCTCATAAGACCAACACCTTTCCTGCAGTAACAGAGCAGGAGTGTGTTGAGATGGCATTTATTATTTGGGTTAGTGACACTCTAGTCTTGAAGGATGTCCAAACACAAGATTTGCATACTGGTGGCTGGCTGGCTGGCTGGATCAGTTTTACACATATTCTTAGGTTATACTGTTGTGGATCTTAATATGGCAAATCTAAGACCACCTTTGGCCTCTATATTTAAAAAATTTTCCAGTTGATTTCTGTGTACATCCAAGTTTCAAAACTACTGGTCAAAAAAATCTTCATGAATAAGGAAAGCCACCTATATGATATTTAATTTGTTCTGATTTTTTTATTTTAGGCAATGGTTTGGTAGGTATCTCTGGGAATAGGCAGAACTCAATTCAGGTCAACATATTCTACCTAGGACAAATTTCTTAATCAGTGCAATTTCTTAACCTTTCTTATATACCCATTGTATTATATATAATGCACATAAAATATCCGGACTTGCTTTAAAGAAGTATTAATAAACATTAGAATATTCATAACACACACACATATATATATATATCCATATATATATATATCCATATATATATATATATATATATACATACATACATTTCATTTCACACAAAAACTGACCTGCCTTGTGCTCCATTTCTGGATTAGTTAACCTACAAAAGTAGTACGAGGTTGTTGAAAGGACACTTGTTAATCGAGTTCTAATCCCCTCCTGACACTAACAAATGTATAGAACCAGTTAGGTCCCAGCCACTCCTAAATATACACAGCATGAAAGTAAAATTAAAACACATGGGAATAAAGTGAAACTATCTATCGTGACAACAGCGAAATGATCCATCTGGTTGCAACAAACCAATTTCATGTCTTCAAAAAGAACTTAGCTTTTTATTGTTCCACAGAAAATGTTTAGGGATTTGGATTATGGTAATGATTTATGTGCACATGTCTTATCCTGAACTCTCCCTTAATTTCAACATTAAGAATTCATATTTGGATAAAGGAAAGCAAACTTCCTATTACCCTGAGAATTTCCAGGGCTCTCACAACAGCCGCAAGCATGGGCTTACCCTTAAAAGGCAACTAGATGAATGTTTATGGCATAAAAGATTAAACTTGTTAGCAATTTCAATAAATTTTTGCAAATAAAGGAAAGTAAAACCTGAAAATAATCAATCACCATGTGGCAAAAGAGTACTTTGCTATTGGCTATATTGTTTTTTTCAAAGCTGACGGTCATCACACACTAACAGTGAACCTGTTGCTGCAAGTTTTCAGTGATTGGACAAATTTGAGCTAATTGTTATAAGGGACAGTTCTTAACTCAGGCAAGCTTATATACAACTTTGATAAAAATAGCTTATGTATTTATAAATAATTTAATGCATTTTAAAACATTTCAAGTATTTAGCATGAAATAAGGTAAACTTTCAATAATAATAAGAGACTAAGTAAAATTCAAGAATAAGTGCTAAACTTTAGGACTCAAGAAATATCTAGTAAGAAATGGTGGCCGATCAACATACACAACCTAACTGAGCAGATCTTTTGTCCTTTTGTATCTTGCTTTTCATTCTTACCCTAAGAAGAAAAAAAAAAAGGAGAAAACAAACTACTTTATTCTTACCAAAAGGTTATATTACAGGACTAAAGTGATAAATAACAGAGACAAGCATATGCCCTCAAAATTAGGCAAAGCCAGTGAAAAAGAAAGCTATTCTTCAGAACCCTTGAAGCAAGATTTCAGACATTTTTCTGAATACACTTAGAAACAAAGTTAAGGAGTATCTGAAGTAGTAAATTCTATAAGTATGCTTATATTACTTCAAATCTCATTCTAAAATGCAAGCCTTTGTTTCCATTACCTTGCTTAATTATGTAATTTCTGTTACTTTAATAAAATATTTCCAGTAATAGAAATGAAAATGTAGGGTGCAGCCCAGAGTTCGATAATAAATGATTCTGTACCGGGATGGGAAAGGCAGAGAAGTGGTTTCAGACCAAGAGAGCTATTATTTATAGTGAGCCTGAAGAAAGAGAATCTAAGCCAACGTCTAAGACAGAGACAAAACATCAAGGCTAAAATTCTGAGTTCGAAGATCACTTGGTCTGGTTTTGTTTTGTTGTGTTTTGTTTTTCAGTTGCCAACTGTGTAGAAAAGCAGAGCCGGAGAGGGAGAGGGTAGCCTTAATAGTTCCGCAGGGCCGACTGTGGGCCCCACAGCCATAGTTTTGCAGCTCTTCTCTCCTTCCTCCAGAGCTTGATGGCCCCTGCCTTGGTGCCACAGCCCTCCCATGGTGGCTCTGAACTGCAGGCACAGCATCTTGACCTGGGTAATGGGCCTCTCAAGGTCTAGCCTAGAATCTCCAGCCTTATTAAATGAAAACAAACAGAACAAAAGCCAAAAAGAAGGCTGGAGACTAATCAAGTAGCCTGGAACATGGGTGAGCCACTGTTATCAAAACATGCAAGTTTTAATATTAAAAAAGAAATTAAGAGAAGGCCATGAACATCTGAATCTCCAAGTTTTTCCTTAAAAGGAAAACTTCATCCAGTAACAAATCATTTTGGGACACAATGAAAACAGGGTTTATAGTGCACACTACTGTCAAAGTTTTCCTGTTTTTCATGTTCTTCCAAGGATTTAGTAGAATATAACCAGTAAATAATAAAAGTCTTTGAGTGATTATGTCAATCGTTGAATGAATAATTAAAAGAATGAATTAATCAATGAACCAGCCCATTTTCCAAGGCTTCAACCACAGACAAAATTAACTCGATCTACAGCTATTTATAAACCCTTCCTTTGTATTAAATCCAGATTTAGTGGATTGGTTATATAAATTGCCTTCAGGGCTCACTATGGTTATTTCTTAAACCCTTATTATCTGCTGAGTATTCAAACAAATGACAAGTTCTGCTCTTACAAGTACCAAAGACAACCTCATTGCTAACATCAAACCTTTCTTTTCCCTCAGTCCACACTCATCTTTCTGAAGCAAGTGACAGAATTGGAAATGCTTCCTTAAATTTGTAAATCTGTATAATAGTAGTAATTATAAAGCTTGCTTTAATTGAAGTATTCTTGATTTATAGCCTGTTTAATTTTCCTGTAGCTCAGTTTAATATTCATTTTGAAACTCCTTTCTGAATGGGGTGTAAAGATGCAATCTGGGCCAACTGAGGGTAGACTTCTGATGTTCTGATTATCTTTGAGCCTATCTCAGTTCCTATCGATCACATTGTACAATCATTTCATCTCTGGACATTACCCAAGGAGCTAGGGCAAAAGGCTTTATGTGCAGCCTGGCATGCTGATGCACACCTGTGATCACAGCACTCTGGGAGCCTGAGGCAGGAGGATTGAAAGTTCAAGGACAGCCTGGGAAACTTAGCAACTTAGTAAAACCCTTCCTCAAAATAAAAAACTAAAAGGGCTGGGGATATAGCTCAGTACAAAGGCCCTGGGTTCAATCCCCAGTGCAGCAGAAACAAAACAAAGTAAAACCAAAAAATAGGCCTTACTAGGTAATGTCACCTACCCTAGAAATTAGCTAAGAGGGGTAGAGGGCAGAGTCTTCATTGTCTAGGGTTCTTGTAAAGTCTGATTACAGCTTCCTTCACTTTTTCTTTCTCACTCATTGCTACCAAAAGAATCTTTACAGTGTTGTATAAGAAGCAGTTTTCAGTTTAGTTGGAAAAAAGATAGTTTTCCCAACCATTATATGCTCTGACATTCAAAAGACTATTTTGAAACTTAAAAACCAAAGAACTGATTCATTTTTTGCTTTCTGTTATATCATACTATAGGTATGTGTGCATATCTGATGTTATCCTTAATAAATTTCTGTGAAAAGAAAATTATTCATTATAAATGGTTCATTTGATACATAGCAATACTGCCATTTTACTAGCAATCTTTGGAAGTTCCATTTCCCTACACCATATATATATATTTAGCATTTTAAGTTGAAAATGGAATATGTGTATTGATCTATATTTCTTTGATTATGAGGGAGATTGAGCATCTCCTTACAGGTCTATGGATCGTTTGTGATTTTATTTTTATTTGTCCATTATATGAACTATTCATTTGTTCATTTTGGTTAGATCTTTATTGACTTATAAGAGCTCTGTATAAAAATATTACTAAGTTGACTTATAAATTTCAAGTATTTTTTCTGACTTATTCTTTGCCCTTTTAAAATATTTATGTTATGGAAGCTTAAAATTAGGAGATCTGATTTTGTGATAACTCCCTCCTCAGAATTTTTAGTTAAGAATTTCTTGGGCCAGGGATTTAGCTCAGTGGTTCCGGCACCTGCCTTGCAAGTGCAAGGTCCCGAGTTCGATCCCTGGTACCAAAAAAAAATATTTCTATTCCATTGCCAGGTGATGAACATTCATTTTTGTTTTACTTTATGCTTTTATTTTATATTAAAATGTTTAATCAATACACTATATTGATCTTAGAGTATGAGGTTGAAGTCTTCATTATTTTGTGTTATTTATTATTTGTTCCAGCATCATTTGTTAACAATCTTCCTCTTTTATCTATATTCCACATTTATTATATATTAAAGTTATGTATATGATAGATCTCTTTCTGGACTCTGCTATGCTCTACTATCTCATTACCAGTAGGAACTATTTTAATCATGGTAGATTCTTAATAAATTTTAATATCTGATAGAAAAATTCCATCTTTATTAATATTTGGGGAGGTTCAAAATTTTCTTGAGTAGTATATTTACTCATCCAGATAAAATTTCACATTCCAATGTTAGCATTATCATTGTTTTTATCCTCTTAACTTGAAACTCCATCTAATCCATTCTGCACCTCAATGCAACCTAACTAGTATATAGTTTCTCCAAAGTATAATAAACAATAATGGTGGTGGTATTCTAGAGTTCAAATTTGTTTCTTATAGAAGAGAACATTGAAGCTCTCTAGTTTAAGAGGTGCCCTTGTCTTTTCAGAGCGTGGAAGGAGAGCACCATGAGAAAGCTGTAGAACTACTCAAGGCTGCTAAGGACAGTGTCAAGTTGGTGGTTAGATACACCCCAAAAGTGCTGGAAGAAATGGAGGCTCGCTTTGAAAAGCTACGGACAGCCCGACGTCGACAGCAGCAGCAATTGCTCATTCAGCAGCAGCAACAGCAACAACAGCAACAAACACAACAAAACCACATGTCATAGGTGAGAAGAGCCTTGTTCTGCATAAGGGAGGTCTTAATTGTGCTGTTTTTAAAAATATGGTTTCTTATCTGAAACAAAATCACTGTATTTAATGCACAAGTTAAATCAATCAACAAAGAACAATGATCTAAAAAATGTCAACAGGATAATATCTTCTTTTGGCATGGGGGGTGTGGGGGTTCATATGTAATTCAGGCTGGCCTTGAACTCATGACCATCCTCCTGCCTCAGCTTCCCTCCCAGGTGCTGGAATTACAGGTGTACACCACCACTCTGGGACAATATCTTTATGTTTCATGCAGCTATCTTATCCACAATTGTACAATATTTTGGAAAATAATATACTTTGGAAGGAGCAGATACATTCTAGGTTGCCCTTACACAAATTGGGAAACTGCAGCTTCTATGCTCACCCAGACCTAAGTGACAAGAGTGTGAGCTGGGCTCTTGTCACCACTCACAGCTTGGCCAGTGACCTTTACATAATGCACAAACTGCACAACCTTATAGTACTGAATTTCCAAAGATCACTCTCTGAATTCTAAGATACAATTTATTAAAAAACTGCTCCACCTGAAAAAATGAAGTAGAAACCTGCCAATGCCTATAATCTGAGAGACCTTGAGGTTCTTTTAGCTACTCATTTAAAATGTGTCTAAGTTCTCCCTGCCTTCTTCTAAACGCCACTGCGTGACAAAGAATGCTAAATCGAGATTTGCTTTGCATTTTCAAGAAAATTGAAGAAGAAAACGTTAATAGTGAAAAGCACCATATTTGAAATGTCTATACCATGTGCGAGGCTTATCACACATTCTTCCTAATCTTCTGAATAATCTTTCAAGGCAAGGATCAGTAAAACCCCATGTGTTGGAGGAACAATCTGAAGCTGCAGTAGTGTCCGTGGATTTCCCATAACCACACTTAAAAGTAGCACAGAAGTATTTTTCTTCTTACTTTACCAGGTATACTCTGCCAAAATCAGATGTTATAGTTATATACACTTGCTATTCTGTGGAAAAGACAGTTCGCATCTTTAGATACTTTTATACTATGATGTCTGAAAACGTGTATTTGAGTTGAGACTCAGTTGTTTTGTTCACAAAATGATAATAGTGTGAGATGATAGTTTTACGTCATTCATATCAGATAGCTATGTGCACAACCAGAAACATTAGATATAACATGAAACTTTCAATTTTTTATGACACTGGTGAAAAAAAAAGAGACCACATAGGGGAGTTCAAACAAACAAACAAAGAGTATGAGATTTGTCCTCTGATACTCCTGGAAATTAACATCCTACCTTTCATAGCCTCTTTGTTTTATTCTATGTATCATATTTTTATTTTTACCTGAAATTATAATTCATTCTAAAAGCATATTTATTGAACAACAAATATTTAGTTTACACTGTTATGAGCCAGGCACTAGTCTGTAAGCTGAAGAAATGGCAGGAGCAAAGCAAAGTCCTTGCTGTCATGATGTCTATTGACTGATTGAAGGAGATAATTTGTAAGAAAAAAAAAGTAAATAACAAATACCTTACTGGGACCAGTTTTTTGCAGAATTAAAATAAGAGACTAGCTAGGTTGTGAAGTTAGACTGGGTTGTCACACCTCGAAGGAGATAACATTTAAATGAAACTGAATCACAAGGAGAAGCCACACACTAGGAGAAGGAAATAGCAGTGCAGTAGTGCATGAGGTATATGGTGTTTGAAGGACAAAAAAACCCTGGGTCTCTAGAGAGTAATGAGTGAGAAATGGAATATAAGTCCAACGAGATAGGTGAAGGTCCAGGTCACATAGAGCTTTGCAAATCCCTAAAGAAAATTAGGTTTATTGCAATGAAAGATAGTAAAGGTTTTTAATCCAGTTTATGTATGAAGTTCATTCTAGTTTCTGTAACAGTGGGCTATTGTTGGGTAAGAGTGGAAGCCAAGACCAACTAGAAGATTAATATAGAGCAGTCTTGGCAGCTGATACTGTGACTCAGACTAGGATGAGGTAGTTGAGATGGAGTGCTCTGAACAATCACATACAAGTCATTTGTCCATGGCCTCCTCTTCTGTAACTATTTATATTTTCAGAATCTTTTCAAAGGTCTTTTGGGTAATAATGGCAATCCACTTTTCCCATCAAATACCAGCACACTTTCTGCCAATACTATTATTTCTTCCATTTTGATAATTAGATTTAAAACAATTCTCTTAATAGATTTAAAATAATGACACTGAGTAGAATTGTTCAGAAGTGTTTTGAAACATATATTTTGCCATTAAGATGTCTGAGGTCTTACTAAGAACTTTCAATGTATGCTTATTTAATTATCTTTGGAAGTATGCAATTCAGTGAGAAATGTTTTCTGGGCCATATACTCAACTTCACTTCTCTGCTCCATTAGTCTTCATTAAATCACCTCAAAGTTTCCTATTATTTCCTTACCAAAGACTAACATTTTTAACAAAAGACATTTACAAACTGTGTTTTCTTTTGTTCTGGTTTTTTGCACAGGATATGGTAGAATTCTATTCATGTCAACATGAAATTTGTATCTGTCCCTGCCAGGAAGATATTTGCAATACACATGATCACAGAGATGCAAGTGTAGTGACCATTTCAAGCATAAGTAAAATACCACCAAGTCATATCATCCATGGATTTTTTTTTCATCCATGGATTTTATGGTGAATTCAGTCCAAGAGGCCTGCATTAGCTCTTACTCGATTTTTTAATTAATTCAATTTTTAAGGATCAAATAAGATTTGTTACACTTACTAACTCATATTACAGTTGTTTTTAAGAAGAAATTTAAAGTTTATTAGACCTACTTAAATTGGAACAGGTCTCAAATTTGATTTTTAAGTTTGACTTGTCAAGCAAAAACCTGTTAAACCAAAATACCTGCCAGATACTGTCTTATTTTTATCAGATGAAAACAATACTTTGAGTAATCAAAATCAGAAATAATATCATTTATCTGATATAACATAAATTATGAAGTAACAACCAATGGTAAGTTGGGATAAAAAATGGAAAATAGGTTAAAGGTAAGCCATATGTGGAGAATTTGTCCTTTATATCTACTTTTAAATTTCTTCAAGTAAAAATCAACTGACTTTCCCCCTGACTTCTATGTTTGAAAATCAGGAATAGACTATATTTTTCAAAATGTAAAAAAGATGACTACTGTACAATTATATGACAGAAATATAAACAGAATATAAATGTGGGGTTTTTTCATGCTGTGCCACTTATTTTGAGAAAGATTATTACATGTATAAGCATCTCAGCTTTAAAATGTGCTCTCATGTATACATTTATATGTCACTCTGATCCCAATGTATAAAAAAAGGATGACTACTACTTATTTAATATCAATATTTTAAGAAAATCAAGGCAAAAATGTCCCGATCTCCATTGCTTCAAGTAGTGTGGAGAATTCATTACATTCAAAACCAGGCTAAATAGTTACAGATATACAAAGTATCTGGCATTTGTAAGTGGCTTCACTGATTCCTCCTGCTCTTCAGAACCCTATTTTCTGTATTTTGTACACTGTGAAATTATTCTGTTTTCTATTACCTGTAGCACAGGTGTAATTCTGATGATCTGATCCAGAGAATCACTACTGAAACCACTGGCCCAGTCAATGGAAGAACCAGGTCCTTTTCATGGAAAAAACAAGAGAAAAAATAAATAGAAATAGAAAAAACAATACTAAAATTTATGTTGAACTACAAATGACCTTGAATACTTAGGCAAATTTTGAGCAAAACAACAAAGCTGGAAATGTCATACTTGACCTTAAAATCTTTTACAAAGCTATGGTAATCAAAAAAACCAAACAAACATGGAACTAGCATAAAAACAGTCACATCAACCAATGGTGCAGGATAGAAAACTCAAAAATTAACACTCATTTAGAGTCAATTAATTTTCAGCTAGAGTGCAAAGAACACACAATCAAGAAGAATGAGTATCCTCAGTCAGCACTATGAGGGAAAACAGGGTAGCCACAAGCTGAGGAAAGAAATTGGACCCTGTCTCACACCATATACAAAAATCAACTCAAAATGGCTTTAAAATTTAAACATGAAACTACTAGAAGAAAACATAAGATAGATACACTTCAACATAGGTCTAGGCAGAGGTTTCTTAGATAAATCCTCAGAAGCACAGAGACCACATGTAAAAATGAACAAATGGGGTTGTATCAAACTAAAAAGCATCTACATGGCAAAGGAAATATGGAATGAAAGGACATGGATGCAAAGAAAATATTTGCAAGTCATACATCTGATGAGAGCTAATGTCCAAAACATATAAGGAACTCAAACAATTCAGTAGCCCAAAACAACTAACCCAGTGAAAAACTGGCCAAAGACCTAAACAGACATTTTTCAAAACAAGACAAATATCCAACAGATGCAAGAAAAAATTCTTATCATCAGTAATTATTGGGGAAATGGAAATTAAAACCACATTGAGGTCTATCAGTTCATACCTGGTAGAAGGTCTACCATTAAAGACAAAAGATAGCAAGTGTTGGAAAGATGTAAAAAGAATACTTGTGCACTGTTGGAAATGTTAACAATACAGCCATTATGGAAAATAGTATGGAGGTTCCTCAGAACATTGTAAAGTCAACCCTACTTCCAGGTATTGAAAACAATATTCCAAATAAATACATGCATTTCCATAAACACTGAAGCATTATTTAGATACATCCTTACATAGCTGAGATATGGACACAACCTAGGTGTCTGTATCAGTCAGTGTTTACTAGAGAATCAGATATAACACAAGATATACATACATGAATTTATAAGATTGGCTTATAATGGCCACCCACAGAGTCAGATGTCTGTCTGACTGCACACTGGAGACTGAAGGATTTAAAGGTTTGGAGCTCACTAAAGTGTCCCATATGAGTTGGTATAAGGAGGCTGATTGGTCTGTGGTGTAGGGCTGAAGAGTGCATGGGAAGCTGAAGAGCCAGGAGAGGGAACAAAGGAGATGTTGAAGGTGAAGACTGGAGCTCCTCCAAAGAAACAGAACCAGATCCATCCTTCTTCATTTCCCCTTTATACAATCCAGCTGACAAGCTACCCTAGGGTGAGTCTTCCACACTCTAGGGTGTGGAATTGCTGAGCCAATTTAGTTGGGCTTCTCTTTCTCAAATTGACAAACTCAACCATCACAGTGTCTATCATCAGATGAGTGAGTAAAGAACACATATAGTATTTATAGTCAATAGAGTATTGTTTAGCTTTAAAAGGGGGAAATTCTGTCTTTTGCAAGAAAATGGATGAACCCAGAGGACAGAATGCTAAGTAAAATAAGGCAGGCACAGAAAGAAAAATGTCTCATGATCTCATTTATATGAGGAATCTAAACAAGTTGAACTCAGAAGTAGATGGTAGAGGCAGGAAAGGTGGTACATGCCTGTAATCCCAGAACTGGGGAGGGAGAGGCAGAAGGATTATCAGATTACCATGAATTGAAGGCCAGCCTGGGCTATATAGTGAGCTCGAGGCCAGTGTGAACTACACCAAGAGACCTTGTCTCAAAAAACCAAACTAAACAAAGAAGTAGAGGGTAGAGTAGTGCTTACCAGAGGCTGGAGAAGGAGTGGATAATAAACACTCATGAAAGCATATAAAGGTTCACTTAGACAAGAGCAATTAATTTAGTGATCTACTGCACAGAATGGTTACTATGTGGTTATGCTTTGTATATTTCAAAGCAGCTAAAAAGTAAATTTTCAATGTTCTCACCACGCAAAAGAAATGTAAGTATGTGAGGTGATGGATTTGTTAGTCTGATTTAATCATCCCACAGTATAAACATCACAGATGCCCCATAAATACATGTAATTACTGTCAATTAAAAATAAAAATTTCAAAAATTATTACTTAAAATTCTAAATAATAAAAGTACCACTTTGTATCACTTGAGTTGAGGAGACTAGGGGAAAATTCATTTTCTTGCCTTTTCCTACTTCTAAAGACTGACCAAATTTTTTGCCTTATTGTCCTTTCCACCAGTGGAATAAAACATTGAGATAGCAAGGGAAAGACAGAGAGAGAGAACTTGTTTTATATAACCTCATGCTCATATACTGACTAAAAACTTGATTATTAAAATTGAACAATATAAGCCATATGGCTTATGCTAGTAAATGTAGATCTACATTTGAAATAACTGTAGTGTTTTGTACATAGTTATACAATAGTTTAATCAGTTTCTTATGGGTGGGCATTAAGATCATTAAATTTCTTGTACCTTATTGAATTTAATTGTTAATATTTTGTTGAGAATTCTTATTATCTTTGTTCATGGAAAATATTGGTCTGTGAATTTCTTTATTTTCTTGTATTATCTCATTGTGTTATTAGGGTAACTCTGGACATACAGAATGAATTTGGAAATATTTTCTCTGCTTTTATCTTCATAAAAAGATAGTAGAGAATTTTTATAATTTCTTCCTTAAATGTTTAGTAGAATTTTTCAGTGAATCTTGTCTAGGCTGGTGCTTCCTGTTTTGGAAGTTTACTAATTTTTTATTCAATTTCTTTTATAAAGATAGACCTACTGAGATTATCTATTTCTTTTTGCATGAAGTTTTTTCTTCTTGCAGGCTGTTTTCAAAGAATTAGTCCATTTCATCTAGTTTATCAAAATTTTAAATATAGAGTCATACATAACATTCTTTTATTATCCTTTTAATGTCCGTTGGAGTTGAGTGATGTCCCCTCTTTCATTTCTGATATTAATAATTAGTATCCTTTTTCTTCTTGTGTGCTAGACTTGCTAGAAGCTTATTAATTTTATTGATCCTTTCAAATAACCAAGTGTTGGTTTCACTGATTTTCTGAATTAATTTCTTATTTTCAATGTCATTCATTTCTGCTCCACTAATTTCTATTATTTCTTTTCTTCTGCTTACTTTGTATTTATTTTTTTTCCTAGTTTCCTAAAATGGAAACTTAGATTATTATTCTTAAATTTTTCTTTTCTAACATACACATTCATCATTATAAATTTCCCTCTAAGCACCACTTTTACTGGATCTCACATATTTTTGTGTAGTTAAAAGTATTTTTTAATTTGGTTTCAGATTTTTTTTTTGACCCGTTCTCCTTATTCTTTTCATTACAATAGACCTGACTGGATCATTCCCAATAATCTTTCTATTTTAACTTCAACGGATTAGCAGCCATGGTTTCATCTTCAAACTTAATTTTCCTTTGACACATAATCTAACATATTTACAAAGTGTGGCTATTAGGACATGGGTGCATTTAAGGTATAAGGAGGCACTATTCTGCCTACCACAATGGCTCATGTAAGAGCTAGCCGAGTGATTTGACCCAAATAACTCACACAAGGATGGAAAAAAGGCTTTTGTTTAATGAATGAATTGTTAATCCCTTAAATTATAAATCACAGTTCTGGGAGAAATCAGGAGCACACTCAGTGCAGATGGTTCCTCCCAGAAGGTATTTCAGTGGCCCATATTTTGGACGCTCAGGGTCCTCTCAGCTGCTGCTGTATCTCTTAGGCCTACTGCACCTTGGGACAGATAAGAGCTCCAAGACTCTGAGTCTCATTCCCTTGGGAAATGTGACTTCATGATAATAATTTTAATTAATGAAAAAATCAATATGTAGACATCTGTCACTTATTGGTGTCTGTCACTTTTAGGATGTTATTTCATCTAAGACTAAGTAAAATAGTTTGTTGTGAAGATTAATGAGAAAAAAAATAATGTGTAAGACCCTTGGCAAAATATGAGGCAATTAAGAAACTATGCACTAAGTTCAGCTATTTAATTTTAATTTTAATGTTTCAGTATATTTTGCAGTACACGACGATTACATCCATTTTGAGGAATTGGTACATGTGTATGACACATCTTAATTCTCTCTTGTCATTTCCTTCCCCTCCCTCTCCTCTCCCTCCATCTCTTGGTCACCTTGCCTTTTGCAAAAGAACAAAAAGGTTTTGTTAGTAATAGCAGTAATAATAGAAGTAGCAGTGTAATGGTGAAAATGTTAATGGCTCACAAAGTTTTATACAATAGCCTGTAAGATGACTCCTGAAGAGGAGCACAGTGGCCTAGCTCATGGATTTCAGTCTACTTTGTAAGATGTAGTGGGGTTTCTAGCCTGTCTCTAGAAGATATGGCAGCTGGAGTGTTGATGCAGACAGAACAATTTTTGTTAAAACCTATTTTGTATGTGATTTTTGGCATTCACTGAAATAAAACAGTACTAGGTGCCCTGAGAGTTGTAATATAAATGTTATTTATGTTTTGCCTTCATGAAGAGAAGTAGAATCATCTGGAAATGGTGAGGAGAAATGTTCTACATTTGAAATGTTTCCAAACTGTTTTTTATTTCATTTTGGGGAATATCTGTGGCTTTCCTAGCTTTGTTTGATAATTACTTCCTTTATAAACATGAAATGATTTTTTTTATATGTGGAAGATTATGCATGAATGATAGTACCCAAAATAAACTTTGCTGTTCGCACAAAGCACATGCTTTTTTGATATTTTTAGCATATTGTACTTGATAAATGAATACTAATTGCTGACTTCACTGTTCTTCCCTTTTTCAGGCCCTTGAGGGAAAGCGACTTGATCAAACATCTGATAGTCACAAATTTGAAAACGTGCTTCAGAATCCCAGCACATAGTAAAAGACAATACTAATAATTATACCTGTCAAGAAGCTGTGAACACATGGTGTATAAATTCTTTACCAAGGCAACTCGACACCTCCTTTCTCTGGTCCCGTACCCCCCTGCTCATGCGCTCTTTACACACACCGACTTTCCATCCACTGCAGTGGGAATTTCCAGTGTGGAAAGGGAGAGACTTTCCAGTCCACAGCCTGAAACAGGATAAGAAGAAAAGTCTGACTTTTGAATAAATCACCGCCGGGGTCAGGATTAGGTCAATCTTTGGTGTCTGGATTTTCCAGAGAATAACAACCCTCTCCTTGTGCTGTAGTTCAAACTGCATCAGTTCAAGGTTGCTGCTCCTATACATTGCCCCTCCTCTAACCTGTTCCACAACCCCCATTGCTGAGTTATCTGAATTGGAATTCCAATTAACTGAAAATTCAGCATCTAATCTCCTTTTGAAAATGGCAATTTACTATTATGTACTCTTTTCAGGCTCTAGGAATTGGGTTCTTATTTTCTGTTCTCATGAATTTTAATGCATTAACTGAATGGTAAATTTTCAGCTCAACTTTTAGTTTATTAGAAGCAAGAGTAGGAACCTAGTACTGTACTTTTTAATTTAAATATTGCTTGCATCTATTATTATACAGCCTAACAGAATATAATGTATATTTATTCCACAAAATATATATTATCAGAGTACATTTGTGATAACTTAGAGTCTTTCCTTACCAAGAATTATGGCTCTGGTAAGAGAATACTAGCAAAGGACCTACCTTCATGAACTGATCATATATATACATACATATATATGTGTGTGTATGTATGTGTATATAATCTCAATTTTTCTTAAGTTTTATATTTTTTGATTGATACACTCTGGAGAAATCTAAACTTCTGTATACATTGGTATTCTGTCATAGATGTCTATTTGACATTTGAAAGCTTTGGTCTTAACAGCTCTCTCTCTCTCTATATATATGTTTATGTATGTATATATAATTTCTTTCAAAAATAGACATATGTAAGCCAGTGATATCAATTTTGTGACTGACAAATGCTTTCCTCTAGAAGGAAAAGATACTTCATTTCACATATTCCTGTAGGTAAATGGAGAAGGAAATATCTTTGGAAAGATCTATTAGAGTCACGTATGCAAATCATAATTTTTTACCTACAGTAAATCTAGGCACTTAATCTGGTTTTAATTTATGGAATTACTAGGAAGTAATAATAAGGGGGCACTTGAACAACTTAAGCACAAAAATGTACCTAAGAGAAGAATAATTGCCCAGCTGAAATTATCTAGATAGATCATTAAGCAGAGGCACATATTTCAATATTCTCTTTTCTCAGATACAAACATTGATTTCCCAATGTAGAATAATTTTAATACTTCAGATAGTCTCCCCCTAAATAGAAATTTATGAAACCAAGTTTAGAGACCATCTTTTTGAAAATATAACAAGACCAACAGAATTACTCAGCACATTTTATTTTACCGTTATGGTGTTATTGTCAATACCCAGTTTTCACTCTTCATAGTGCATCACTTACCAGGCAACAAACAGCAAGGAGACTGGGGAGTATGACAGTGTCTTGCTGTGATAAGAGGTTTCCAGCCTCGAGAACATAATCATATTTTACTAGAGAGAGGTGGGGATATGGGTGGGGCAGTGAGGACCCTGAATGTTATGTAAAATAAGTTTACAAAAAAGACAAGCATGACATAGGGCATAAATGGAGACAATATGAGTGTTATGCAGTTTGAAAGATAGTTCTCATTTTTATAAGAAAAATTTAATAAAACATATATTTTAGTTATCGTTTATCAAAGAAGTATTAGAGGTATTCAAGCAGTACCACAAGATTCTCATAAAAGGAAATCATAGCACCCTTAAAATAAGATAATAGTTCTCTCAACACATTTCAATACATTGTATTAATTTGGAGCTTAAGGTAAGTATGTTATTGTTTAGCTGTTAAATGTTCAGATAATATGAACTTTTATAGTTTCACATCAATATCATCATGACATTACAGAAGCAACTATCAAATGAGCAGATCCCTTAAATTTCAGTTTTCTAGAAGTTTTGTATTTTTATGCTTCTTTTGCATAATGTTCAGTGCTGATAAATGTCTGCCAGGTTGTTTGTCAAACCAAAGGACCAATCCATCATATCTATGGAATCTAAGATTACAGTATATGTCACATTGGTCTTACAAACAAAGACTAAAACTGAATTTGTTAAAATGTAAACCTTCCCCTGAATTTTTAATGAAAAGTAATCATCCCTAGACTTACAGAGGCCATTTGTGGTTCTCTTAGTTTCACGGAAATCAAAGGGAATGAAAAAAATTACTATAATCTGTACTCGAGCTCTTTATTACTAATGATCACATTACAGCCACTAACATACCCTAAGTCATACTCTTTCTTAAAAAAGACTACTCTCCTTTGAAGCTCAATCCTCAATATAATAAACAAATTAGGTATTAAAAATTAGAGGGAAGATTTGTTGTGACTTCTCAAGGATCCTGGTGAATTTTAGTTCCTTCCCTTGATCAAGCTGGTGACCAGTGGAACAGATTTGTTTAAACCTTTCTCTGCTATGATTTTAAAAGCAGATACACAAACCATAGTTCTGTAAAACAGTTCCCGAATCTTTTCATTGTTGCATTTACATTTTGATTCTGTTGCCATATGGACTAGAACATCCACAGGGAGATAATGAGTTTAAATTGCAATTGACTTTGGAAAGAATAACAGACTTTTGTGCTTCCTCAATCATGTAATCAATCGGGAATTCTCTAGTTATATGAACTACCCCTATCTTTTAAGACAATGCTAAAATCTAAATGCAAAATCTAACATTCGGGGGCCTTTTAAGGATTTGAAGCTTCTGTGAACTTTGCTAGAGAAGGATTATACCAATTTACAAATGCAGTTTTCAACTGTAATCTTATCTCATTTCAGTTTATTCAGCTGTACATATAGCACTCGAAGACATAGGATATTTTGTCTACATTACTTTAAACATCTGTAGATGTTTAACATTTGTGGATGTGTGAATAATGCCTGAATTTCTCATCTTTCAGATAGCTGTCCTTACACATAGGCTTTAAGTAAGACCAACATTAGACAACATTGTAAAGTAGCGATCAACATTCTGAAGATTCAAAGAGGCCAGTACAGAGTAAGGTATTCCAAAACAGGAGATGGCCCTACTGCTCTTGTCCCTCTCTAGACCACAAGCTCTATGAGACAAAAGGGGCTGTGACCACCATGTTGATTACTTGGCACAATATAGATACTCAAGGAATATTTGTTAAATGAATGATTAAAGAGGTGGATAAAGAAATGAGTACATTTGCCTTCTGATAATTTCATTACCTTCTTAGTGTATCAATTGGCACTATAATTTCTAAATATCATTAGAATAAGAATTGACTCTTCATACTTTTTAGATATGTGAATTTGGAATCAAATTACTTCAAAGGCTTTAAGGGCATTTAAATAAGGAACAGTGTTCATGAATTCAGATTTTGATGATGAATAAAATTAAACCTATTTCTTTATGAAAGCACTTTGAATTATTTGGCAGGGATTATCCAAAAAGGAAACTCCATTTCTAAATTTTATAAAACATTATGTTTAGATTTTAAAAAGGAAGAAGAAAAAGAAAGAAGAGTCCCATCATCCAGCATTATGATTTGTGTCCGATTAAATATTTATTAACAACGTTTCTCTAAAAAATTCTGAGTCATTGTAGTCACCATTCCTAAACTTTCTTCTTTTAAGGATTACTCTTTTCGTATTTGATTCTTAGAATTTACCTGAGCTAAAAAAAATCCACATATTCATTCAACAAATATTTCTTGTGTACCTGATACATGTTAGGTTCTGGAAATGCAGTGAGAAAGAAGAGTGACATAGTGCTATCATGGAGCTTATCATGAGAGAACTCCACTCTGAACTCTAGCCATAGCTAGTTTACTGTCCACTGAGTCCCTGCTAGAAGAGAAAAATTCTTCACCCCATGGAAATTATGAAAAACTCCTTTTTCTAAACATACCACTCAAAACTGATGCTTATTTTATCCATAAAGCACAATTATAATCCAATGAGGTTGGTATATAATAATTTGTTCATGACATGTATCTAGCTTTTACTATGTTGTAGCTACTATGCTCAGTGTTTTCATGGACGATCTCATCAAATCTCATCTAAAACCCTATGCAGTAGGTTCCATTCTACACACAAGAAAACTGAAACACAGCTATGTTATGTGACTTGTCCAAGGTCACACTGCTAGCAGGTGGAAATGCAGTCTGACATGAGAGCTCATATGCATAATTGTTGTCTCTGGCTTTGGAGGACAGTACTCCATGAGACTGAATAAGTCATTAAAATAAATGAGTTATTGTACATAAAAATACTTTGAAATTATAAAGTAGCATGCAAATGATATTAGAAAACTATTACTCGTATCACATCAGTGACAAAAACAGAACTCAATCTTATTTTACAGCTTATTCATGAAGAATACTTAAGTGAGGAACATGGGAAAAAGGAAAGATCCAGAAAATTTCTGACATGTAGTAAATATTTCAGTGATTTTTCAGAATGATTTATTGTTAGTCACTGTGTCTATTTGGTGCTACAAAAACAAAGAAACAAAATCCCTGCTCTAAGGGCTTATAATAAATACACAGTGTGGAGATGAACCAAGGCTGTTTCACACTTCCGTGGAAGTACTGGGCAGTTTGTTGTACCATTTTTTCATCATTGCATGTACATCATGTCTTTCCAGTTGTTTTCATTATTTTTCTGAAAGAGCTACAAAATTGTGCAGTGGTTCAACCTGACCAAAGTGGTATTATGCTGCTGGGAAGTAAAAGTATTAGACACCAGATTGGAAATATTGTTTTTATTATCAATATACAGAGGAATTTTTAGATGCTGTAGCCCCTATCTGGATGCTAAGTTTCTTGTGTTTCTCCATTCCAGACCACACAGTGAGATCATTCTCTCTATGGGAAGGTTCTGAAAAAGAAAAAAAGAAATTCTTGTCTACTTTCCACTTTCACATTTGAAACACTTCTGTGACCACACTGTGGGGAGAGGGAGAAATTGTTAAAGTGGTTACCAAAGAGGAATCTTATAAATCTTAGAATTCAGTTCTGGCGTTACCTGCCTCATGTCTTCAGTTTTTCCCATAAATTGCTGCTAGATATCTTCCTCTGAAGTTATCCTTTTGCTCAGAATCCTCCAAAGGGTTCCACATGCCAAAAAACAAACAAGCAAGAAAAACCCTACAAATTTTCAGATTCCTGGTTATTGCTGTGTTAGTTATGATGTCAGAGAGAGAGAATGTTCTAGTGCTCTGCTATCCCCAAGTGTGAATAATTACAGAACATGAAATGGGACAGAATTGAAATCCGGTACATGGACTGTGAAGTCAAAGTTCCATGACTCTGAAAAAAATCACAGTTTTTTCTTTAACATGAACTCAAATGCAAAGATAAATTTAGTAGTGCTCTATGGTGAAGACTATATCAGATGGTGACCCACGAACTCTATAGTATTTGCTTGGAAAGTAGTGTGTGTGTGTGTGTGTGTGTGTGTGTGTGTGTGTGTGTGAGAGAGAGAGAGGGAGAAGACAGTATGTAGAAATGGGCTAACACAGTGACATTAAGGAGTGGTGTGGCATGAAGTTTTTCTCTACCTTATGACATTGTTTTGCTGCCTTACTTTACCTTACAGACCATTGTCCACCACTATTCCTGAAACCTGTCCCAAACTTTCCTTCCTCCAACTTTTTTTTTTT